GCCCTTCGCCACGCCATGGAATGAGGCCCCCGAAGTACACCGCGCCCATGGTAGACGACCAGTCCAAGTTTGACCGCTGGCAGGCGACCGTTCGCCCCGGGAACGCTGCATGTGAATGCGATCGTTGGCGCTTTTGCTGGCAGCCGTGCGGGGGAGTGCCAGATTGCGGGGGCGTCTGCTGGAGGGCGCGGGCAGCGGCTGCTGAGGCCGAGGCCGATTTGCTTCTCAATGCCGCCCCCTCGTCAGCGGCTGCCTCCGCGCCTCGCGACCTCGCCTCGGGAGATCGAGAAGGTCCCAGTGTTCCGGCTGGTTTGGAGGGCAGCTAAAAGTGCCCGAGCCGTTCCTCAGCCCGAGAATTTGCATCGCCCCAGCCAGGGGGTGGAGTTGCTGTTGGTGCGGCCTCTGCGCCCGCAAGTCCGCCTCGCAGGTCCTGAAGCGCCTCTGGACTGTCCTCCCTTCCGCCCCCACCCACAGAGCCACTTGCCGCGGGACCTGTCGCAGGGCCTGCCGCGGGGGAGGAGGGGGAGGAGCGTCGGAGGGGAGTGGTGGCCTTGTCGGACGCCCATTGACGAGTTGTTGTTCTCTGGGCTCGGTTTTGCGGCCCCTTCTACCAGGATCCTTCCTGGGCTCGAATTCCTGCCGATCTGCCCCGACGCCCTAGCTGGGTAACCTCTCATGTGAATGAAAGACTGCGCGTTTTGGAGATCAGCTGCTGGTCAAAACACAGCACGCGTCTCTGATGAGACTCGGGCAAGGGGCCTGCCTCCCAGGCGCGCGGTCAGCAGCTGGTGGGGCACCGACCCAATTGGCAAGGATGACAGTGCGGCAAAGTGTCGCCCATGCCTCTGCCCCCTTCTGTTTTGTTGGGGCGGCAGATCTCCTCGTTTATCCGGCACCCTGGTCCCCAATAGCTTGCACATGTGTGTGGTGCCAGTTGCTTCTAGACAAACTGTTTCCTCTTCCTCCACCCTCCATCTCTTTCCCTCCTCCTCTCCCCTCCTTGTTCTCCTCGGCCTTTGCGTTTAGGGCTGGTCTAGACTGGGTGGCCTTGGAGCGCTTGCTTCCTTTTCCTCCCCCCTCCTCCTCCTCCTCCTCCTCCTCCTCCTCCTCCTCCTCCTTCTCTCCTCCTCCTTCTCCTCTCCCTCCTCCTCCTCATCCTCCGCTTACTCCTCCTCCTCCTCCTCCTCCTCCTCCTCCTCCTCCTCCTCGTCATCCTCCTCCTGCTCCTCCTCTTCCTCCTCATCCTCCTCCCCTTTCTCCTCCTCCCAGTCGCCCAAATGAACCACTCCTCCCCCTCTCCTCCTCCTCCTCCTCCTCCTCCTCCCCTCCTCCTTCTCCTCCTCCTCCTCCTCTCCTCTTCTTCCTCCTCCTCCTCCTTCTCCTCCTCCTCCTCCTCCTCCTCCTCCGCCTATCCTTATTCCTTATTAGAATATACTCCTACTCCCCCCTCAGGCCGGCCATTAGGGGCCGCATCCGGGGGGTCCCATCCTAACCTGTAAAAAACAATACAAAATCAACATTTTTCTTATTTTTTCCTCTCGACATGGACGTCCTGTCGTCCACGGCGATAATCCATTGCAAAAAATACCACAAAGAGCACACGCGCGCGTTCATGTCAGAATCCTACCGAACACCGTGTGTTTGCAAGCATTTCAACATAAAAACATCAAAAACCCAATGCTTTTTCACAAAAATTGTACAAATTTCCCGCCCGGGCTCTCTTGCTGAAATCATAGGAAAACCATAGGAATCTTAAGAATTCTGTCAAATCCAGCGATTTCACGTCATCGCGCGGTGCACTCGCGATGCTCTGTCATGCACCCAGGCCGCGAATCCTGTGCAAAAAATACCACAAAGAGCACACTCGCGCGTTCATGTCAGAATCCTACCGAACACCGTGTGTCTGCAAGCATTTCAACATAAAAACATCAAAAACCCAATGCTTTTTCACAAAAATGCTTCGGGGTATCCTGTCAGACCGTCGGGCTTCCTCCGGCCACCTCTGGCTTCCTGCGGTGTACCGGGCCATTCTCGACTCGTCTGGCAATGCGTGCGCGGCATTCAACACGCGCTCGCCAGTTCCCGTCGGCAACCGCCATCGCGGCCGCATCAGCTGTACCAAACCGGCTGGCCGGTGTGACTTCGGCCCCCAGTTGTGCCAGCTCTGCTTCTTATGTTGTGGGAGGGCGGGTGGGACTGGGCATGCCATGCTTGACTCGCTCGAGCTGGCTAGCTTGACTCCTACTCCTACTCACACTCCTATTCCTACTCCTACACCTACTCCCATTATTCCTCGTCGTCCTCGTCCTCCAAGCCATCGTTACCCCTCATCCTAGTCGTTCTCGTGGACTGGGTTTTGACCTTTGTACTTCGCCGCCAAGCCATGCCGATCGCACACCATGTTTCGACACCATCCCTTGGCGAGGCGCGGTGCCAGGAGCCCCCCAGATCGCGGGCCTCGGGCGGGTGGCCATGTGGGGTGACCTCAACAAGGGGCCCTGTGCAGGGGCACCTCGGGGTCCCTTTGGGGAGCCGGCGGGGCCCTCGAGTGCCCCCTTTGGGCCCTCGGTCTTCACCCCCCATGCAGGTCCCCCCCCTCATCACCACCCGCCCGGGGGTCGGACCCCCCTCCCCCCCCCGACGGTCAGAGGGCAGGCGCCGCGTCTTCTGACGGAGGCGGGCTGGGGCGCTCCCGGCCCCACCCCACGGGGCCTGTTCCGTTCGTCGCGGATTTGGAAGGCCCTTGTCTTCGCCTCCCATGCAGGTTCCCCCCCCCCCCCTCATTACCACCCGCCCGGGGGTCAGCCCCTCCCCCCCCCTAGCCCCCAGCCCCTCCCCCCCCCCGATCGATCGTCAGAGGGCAGGCGCCGTATCTTCTCGCGGAAGCGCTCCCGACCCCATCCCACGGGGCTTGTTTTGTTCGGCGCGGACTTTCTGGGAGCCGTGCATCTCTGCGGGGGCCCGCTGGAAGGACGTGGCGCCTGATGTGGGCTGGCGTCACGTCCGGTCATACGGTGAGAGAGCGACTTGCGAGGAGGAGGAGGAGGAGGAGGAGGAGGAGGAGGAGGAGGAGGAGGAGGGGGAGGAGGAGGAGGAGGAGGAGGAGGAGGAGGAGGAGGAGGAGGAGGAGGAGGCGCCCGGATGAGGAGGAGGAGGAGGAGGAGGAGGAGGAGGAGGAGGAGGAGCGTGGGAACAGACACAGTGGATGGAGCCGATGGGGCTCCGCCACGCGCCCCGCCCCAGGGACGGCTGCCGGGCCGAGGTGCAAGCCCAGCCCAGTCGCGCGTCCCAAGCATCATCCGACGTCTTGAGTGAAGTCGGACCTGTCCCTCTACAGGGGGGATCGGGGGTGGACAGACCTCCTACCCTGACACGTCGATTAGTGAATTGTCCGTGTTCGGTTCTCGAGAGGGCGCCGCGGCCGATGTTTTCCAGGCTTGCGCCCGCCGGGTTTGGGCCCGAGGTCGTTATCTCTAAACCACGTTTTGCTAAAGGGAGGTCTGTCCATCCCCGAGGGGACATTCAAAAGTAGTCGAAAATAGTCTGGGGACGAGTTTGGGCGTAATGTTTGGTCATTCTCATTCTTGGAGTATGTTTGGAGCCTGTTTTCTTTTTTCGTCAAAAATCCGCCTGTAGGGGGACAGGCCCGACCTGGGTCATGAGCTGGTCAACGTGCGGTCCACGGATGTCCCGACCCTTTCTCCAGGGCCGGCTCTTCATCTCGAGCCGTTTTTTTGGAAGTCACGGGGCCCAGCGAGGGCCCCCCCCCCGGCGGTGGAAGTTTGCGAGCCACCTCCGCCTCGAGCGCCTCGTCGAGGGTGCGGCGAAGAGGGGGGTGATGACTAGGAGGAGGAGGAGGAGGAGGAGGAGGAGGAGGAGGAGGAGGAGAAGGAGGAAGAGGAGGAGGAGGAGGAGGAGGAGGAGGAGGCGGGGGGATGGGGATCTCATGGCGGGGGCCATAAGATCTCCCCAGATGCCATGGCGCCTCGCCTCAGTTCGGAAACGACGTCCCCGGCCCCCCGCAGACGTGGCGCCGGCCATGATCTGCGCCCCCCCCCCCTCTTGGACGCCCCCCCTCTGGGCCACACTCCGCCTCGAGTGCCTCCAGACGCTGGAGTCCTGGGGTCGTCGTTCGAGGGCAGCCCGAGAAGCGGCACCCGCGGGCGCGACCATCAGGCATCGAGAACAAATCCGTTCCAGCGCGTTCCTGGACGCTCTGAGAAGGCCGCGGCGCCCGAGGCGTCCTCCAGAGCCGCCAGATCTCGGAGGTTCTCGATGTGTCCCCACCCGATGTTCTCCTCGTCCTGGCTTCGCTTTGTTTCTGAAAAGGCCGGAGGGCTCCTGAGCACCCCCGCCGCCTTCTGAGAAGGCCAGCCCCTTCGCGGACGCCTGGTGATCTCTGGGGTCATACCTCCTCTTCCTCGTTTCTCCCGTGGCCGTCCAGGACGACGCGGGCGCCCCCGGAACGTTCCCGGCGGGCGCAGCCGCTGGAGCGCATCCCGAGTTTGGAAGACCACCGAGGACTCAGAACAAAAAAAAACAAGAAGACGACAACGTAGAAGCTCGAGCCCGAAACTCACACATTCCCCCCCCGGGCGCTCCGCCGACCCCTGCCCTCGGGGGCAGGGAGCGCAATGCCACCACCACCTGGGGGGATTCAGCATGAGCTGATACGCGGGGTGCAGGTGCGCATGATGTCCCGCGAGCGCGCCCGAACCGAGACACCACCGCCACTCCTGACCACCCAGGAGCCAGGAGGAGTCAGGAGGAGCCAGGAGGAGGAGGAGGGGGAGGAGGAGGAGGAGGAGGAGGAGGAGGAGGAGGAGCCAGGAGGAGCCAGGAGGAGGAGGAGGCGCCAGGAGGAGGCAGGAGGAGGAGGAGGAGCCAGGAGCCAGGAGCCAGGAGCCAGGAGCCAGGAGCCAGGCGGAGCCAGGAGCCAGGAGAAGCCACGAGGAGCCACGAGGAGGAGGAAGAGGAGCCAGGAGGAGCTGCCTGCCCAGGCTCGCGCCGATCGTTGACCCCACGGGCGACGCCGCCGCCCTCTGCCACGACTTCGAGTGCTCCGGGCCGCAGTCCGCCTGCCGGGACTTCCCGGACCGCGTCTGCGCGTGGTACGCGCCGTGCGGCCACGAGGACCCCCCGGGCGCGGGGCGGGCCGGGCGCGGCCGAGGGCCTGGAGTCCGGGGAGTCCGGGGAGTATGTCGGAGGTTGTTCTTCGGCCCCTCTCGAAGGACCCTTGGGGCTCTCCTGGGGCCCTGCTGGAGAGAGCGCTCCTGCCCCCCCCTACCCTCCCCCGCGCCCGAGCCTGCCTGCCCTCGCCATGTGGGGCTGGGCGCCAGCACGGGCTTCCAGCTCCCCTCCTCGGGCGCCGCGCTCGGCGCTCCTTGCCCTGGCACCCCCTTCAGGGGCAACGACAGGGGGGATAGGCATAGGGGGGGATGCATCGACCCCCAATGGTCCATTGATCGCCGATAGGGTCCCGATAGCCCCACCCCGCCCAGGAAGGTGCGGATTCACTCTCGGGGGCCAGGGGCCAATCGCCGATCTATCGACAATGCATCGCCGATTCCAGGTCGATGCATTCCCCCCAATGCCTATCCCCCCTGTCGTTGCCCCGCATGGGGCCCCTTCCAGTCAACCCGCTTGGTAAAGATGACCCTGAGATCCCGGACAGCTCGTAGAGGGCGAACGCCCCGAGGCCATGGCGTTGCAGCTTTTCTCACCGCGGGCGGTTTCGCCCAGTTTCGGGCCGCGGGGCCCTCGCAGATCGATCCGGCCCGGAGAATTACGCAGACAGCTCAGTGTCGGGGAGGAGGCCCCCACGGCCTCCCGAGCACCCCGAACGAGGGGAGGCCCGGAGGGGGCCCAGGGATTCCAAAATGGAGCGAGAAGCTGGGGGGGCAAATTGGGCCAGGAGTAGCTGTAGCAACCCCCGGCAGAAACACGTCGAACCCGCAGCATCCCTTCCGGACAGCTCGTAGAGAGCGAGTCAGGAGGAAAAACACACGCACACAGTCACAATCAATCGGCGATTTCCCAGAACATATGGGAAAATATGGGAAGTGGGGGGAAGACGAGAACCCAGAACATATGGGAAAATATGGGGAATCCTTCTATGTGTGTGTATGTATGTGTGTGAGTGTGTGAGTGTGTGTGTGTGAGTGTGTGTGTGAGTGTGTGTGTGTGTTGTGTGTTGTGTCTTGTGTCTTGTGTGTTGTGTGTTGTGTGTTGTGTGTTGTGGGTTGTGGGTTGTGGGTTGTGGGTTGTGGGTTGTGGGTTGTGGGTTGTGGGTTGTGGGTTGTGGTTTTGTGTGGTGTTTGTGTGTGTGTGTGTGTTGATGTGTGTGTTTGTGTGTGTGTTTGTGTGTGTGTTTGTGTGTGTTTGTGTGTGCGTATTTGTGTATGTGTTTGTGCGTGTTTGTGTGTGTGTTTGTGTGTGTGCGTATTTGTGTGTGTGTTTGTGTGTATGTGTGTATGTGTGTGTGTGTGTCTGTGTGTGTGTCTGTGTGTGTCTGTGTGTGTGTCTGTGTGTGTCTGTGTGTGTCTGTGTGTGTCTGTGTATGTCTGTGTGTGTGTCTGTGTGTGTCTGTGTGTGTGCGTGTGCGTGTGTGTGTGTGTGGTGTGTGTGTGTGTGTGTCTGTGTGTGTCTGTGTGTGTGTGTGTGTGTCCCAGGGCCCCTTCAGCGAAAGCCCTGAGGTCCTGGCGGTGCAGTCGTTCTTCGCCACGGGCGGTTCCGCCCACGTGGCGGGCGGCGGGGCCCTGTCACAGGTCGGTGCGGCTCGAGAGGGTGGCGCAGGACGCGTGGCATCGCTCGGGCGTGTGCATTTTTTACTACGGCGAGGACCATCGTCGGGAGCAAGATTACGACACCCACCCCGGCAATGCAGATGCCAGTATATATTCATTACTTGCGTCTTGCCAGTCTTACCGACGACGGAAATGCGGCGTCGGGATTTCATTCGGGGCTATCCACGGGCACTGCCGAATCTATGCATACATGGGCGCTGCAAGGCAGGGTGGGTGTCGATATGTAGCTCCCCACATCGAGGAGCATCCTGGATCGTTTGGCGACAAAGCCACGCACGGAACCGAAACAAAAACACAGGGAATGGACGCCCGAGCGATGGCCAGAAAGGTTGTTGTTTAGGGCTCCACTCGTTTATCTTTTACGATGCTTCACTTGTTTCGCGCCGTCGGACCTCAGGGAGGGTCTCAGATGACCTTGAGGGTCCTGGCGATTCAATGTTTTCGGCTCGGGCGTTTTCGATCAATTTGTGGGCCCGGGACCTTCACAGATCGATCCGGCGTGAAAAATGACGCAGGAATTTGCAATGTCGGATCTCAGGGTAGAAGCTGGCAGGCCGGGGTAGCCCTGGAGCTCGTTCCGGCTTCCGGCAGGAATCCCCGCTGCGGCTTGGTTGAACTTGCAGCGTGTCCCAGAAGGCCTTTTTCTGACTGTTTCCCAGTGCTAGTGCCGTGAAGTTCCACCCCTGAGTTTTCTGAAGTTTCCCTGAAGTTCCTCCCCTGAGCTTCCAGAACTGGTTCGAAGGACATTCCAGAAGCTTCTGCCGCCTCGCCATCCAGGTTCTGGACACCACAATTCTCTTCGCTCGCCGTGCGCCGGCCGAAATGTCGGCCCATCGGAACCAAACTGGAGGTGCAGCGGTCGGTTGGATGGTCCTCAGGACGCGTGTTGGCCCAATGCTTGTTTACCCCCATTCAGCCCAACCAGTGGATCATTACATCGCCTGCGTCGTATCGAAGGGCCTCGATGGACAAACACGCGTTGCGTTATGATGTTCCAACCTACTTTAGCCTTGATCACCAGAAAAGATCTATCACCAAGAAAGGAACGAAACTCGAGGGTGTTCACGTGTCGGGCCCTGGGACACACTCGTTCGACACTGTTTCGACACTGTTTCGACACTTTTCCAGGTGCTCGAAATGATTTCTGGGATGTGGTCTTTAGATACGATGGGGGGCAACATAATGTTGGGGCTAACACACGTTCTGAGGATCAGCGGTCGGTGTTCTGGGGCGGCGCGCCGACGTCTGCCAGACCTGGCCACCCGATGGCCTACAACACCTCGCGTGTGTCCCCGCTCTCTGCCCTGCGAGCCACGCCGACGTCGAGCATTCAGCATTAAGTCGGGCGTGTCCCTCTACGGGGGGATCTTCAAAAATAGTCAGAAATTTGCGCTGGGGGAGATCTTTTTGATTTTGTTTGGCTCCTTAATTGGGCGTGTTTTTGGGGTTATGTTTTATTTTTCGTCCAAGATCCCCCTTGTAGGGGCACGTGCCCGACCTAGATTTGGCATGCACAGGGGCAGCGGGTCCTGACGGGAAACGGGCCCCGGACTCTGGGGCCCTCCCCCGGGACGAGCTCGTCCCTCCGAGCTGCTTGCTCTGACGGCCCCCGGGGCCCGTGGAGGAGCCCGTGGAGGAGCCCGAACCGTTCCTCTTCCTCCTCCTCCATTTCCTCCTCCTCCACGTCCTCCTCCTCCTCCTCCTCCTCCTCCTCCTCCTCCTCCTCCTCCTATCCCTCCTCCTCCTCCTCCTCCTCTCCTCCTCCTCCTCCTCCTCCTCCTCCTCCTCCTCCTCCTCCTCCTCCTCCTCCTCCTCCCTCCTCCTCCTCCTCCCCCCCCCCTCAGGGCCCGCTCCCCTCAGGACCCGCTGCTCCCATTCTGCACGAGCGACATGGGCACGGGAAGAGTGGGTACAGTGCCCAACAGCGGATCCTGCTCATCTCGCACAGGACTCGCTGTCCGCGCCGCCGCGGCCTGTGCCCACTCGAGACAGGAGGCCGCCTGCCCAACAGCGGCCGCTGTTGGTTTGGGACAACATTTGCTGTTGGACATTGTACCCATTCTTTCCGTACCCATTTCGGGGCTCCCATGGCGAAGCCTGCATGCCCGCGCGCACAGTCGGGGCGCTGAAGTAAGGAACAGCTTGGATTCGGAAGGGGCTCGATGTTCCTTGCGTCCTTCCGTGGAGTTGTTCCTCGAGCCCTTCTCGTGCACCCCGGCTTGTTTGAAGCCACAGAGGGGCTCCGTTCCGCGCGCACACGCCGCCCGCGCGCAGCCCGCGCGCACGTGCCGCCGGCCAGCCGTGGGCCCCTGGCCGTGCAGAGTGTGGCGGCGGGCCGGCCCTGCGCGGCCCCCAGGCCTGCCTGCACAAGCGGCTGCTCCCCGTGAGGTATCCCGACGCCCAGCTCCTGCTGGCCCTCGGGGGGAGGAGGAGGGAGGGAGAACATCAGGATCAACGACAGGGAGTGGATGGGTATATGAGGCCTTCAAGCCCAGACCCCCTCGCGTTGTGAAAAAACATAGCAGGAGGTTCTTCGCTATTTTCAGCCTCCAGGGGCCCTTCCCGGGTCTCGGGACTGTCCAAAAACGATGCTGGATGAAAGGCCGGTCCCTGGGAAAGGGGTCTGGACCTGAGGGGGTCGACGTTATGAAAAAACCACGATGTCGGGGGTCTGGGGAGGGGATCAGTGGCAACGATAGGGGGCTTATGAGAAAGTGAGGCCTTTAAGACAGGGCCTCTCCTTCGAGGATCGGAGGAGTTGATATCCTCAGCGCAGGGCGGCGGAAGGCGGCGGAAGTAAGACGAGGAGCTTCCACTGGCGGAAGCCGGGGGAAGGCCGGCGAACGGCCGCGGCAGTAAAAAGTGCGCCCCTAAGGGACGACAGCATTCTTGGGTTCAGGGTTTCCTGAACCCGCCATATAGGAGGGACGCATCGACACCCAATCGCCCCTTGATCGCCGAGGGAGGTCTGATGCCCCACCCCCGCCCTGGAAGGTGCGGATTCGCTATCAAGGGCCTATCGCCGATCTAGCGGCGATGCATCGCCGATTCCAGGTAGAAGCGTCCGCCCTACGCCAGCCCCCCCCCCCCCCCACGTTGCCCCTCGGTATGCAGTCCCCTTCGAAGGGGGATGATGATGATGATGATGATGATGATGATGATGATGATGATGATGATGATGATGATGATGATGATGATGATGATGATAATAATGATGATGATGATGATGATGATGATGATGATGATGATGGTGGTGGTGGTGGTGGTGGTGGTGATGATGATGATGATGGTGGTGGTGTTGGTGATGGTGATGGTGATGATGATGATTTCGATGATGGTGGTAATGGTGATGGTAATGGCGATGATGGTGGTGATGGTGGTGGCGGTGATGGTGATGGTGATGGTGATGGCGATGGTGATGGTGATGCTGATGGTGGTGATGATGATGGTGATGATGATGATGAAAAAGATGCCCTCGGTATGCAGTCGCCTTCGAAGGGGGATGATGATGATGATGATGATGATGATGATGCTGATGCTGATGATGATGATGATGGTGATGGTGGTGATGATGATGATGATGATGATGATGATGGCGATGATGGTGGTGATGGTGATGGTGATGGCGATGATGGTGGTGATGGTGGTGATGGTGATGGTGCTGGTGATGGTGGTGGTGATGGTGGTGATGATGATGGTGATGACGATGATGAAAAAGATGCTGATGCTGCAGATGTTGATGTTGCTGCTGCTGATGATGATGATGATGATGCTGATGGTGGTATGGTGGTGATCGTGATGGTGGTGATGATGATCATGGCGGTGGGGGTAATAATGATGCTGGTAATGATGCTGGTGATGATGATTATGGTGGTGATGATGATGATGATGATGATGATGATGATCACGATGATGATGACGATGTTGACGATGCTGCTGATGGTGATGAAACTGATATTGATGACGATGATGACGATGCTTATGGTGATGACGGCGACGATGATGAGAATGATGAGGGTGATGGTGATGGTGATGGTGATGGTGATGGTGATGGTGATGGTGATGGTGATGGTGATGGTGATGGTGATGGTGATGGATGATGATGATGCTGATGATGATGATGATGATGATGGTGGTGGTGGTGGTGATGATGAAGTTGATGGTGCTGGCGTTGATGCTGATGATGATGATAAGGAGGAGGAGGTGGAGGAGGAGTAGCAGGAGGGGGAGGAGGGAGAGGAGGTGAGGAGGAGGAGGAGGAGGAGAGGAGGGGAGGAGGAGAGGAGGAGGAGAGGAGGAGGAGGAGGAGGGAGGAGGAGGAGGAGGAGGAGGAGGAGGGCAGGAGGAGGGAGGAAGGAGAAAGAGGAGGATCAGGAGGAGGAGGAGGAGCAGGAGGAGGGAGGAGGGAGGAGGGAGGAGTGAGGAGGGGGGAGGAGGAGGAGGAGGAGGAGGAGGAGGAGGAGGAGGAGGAGGAGGAGGAAATGGTGTAGGAGGAGGAGGAAATGGAGGAGGAAATGGAGGAGGAAATGGAGGGAGGGAGGGGAGGGAGGGAGGGAGGAAGGCAGGGAGGAGGAACATGAGTAGGATGGAGGAGAAGGCCATCTGCGGGATCCATCCCCCGCCTTCGCCCCCTGGCGCCGCACCCAGCCGTGCGCGCGTATCCCGGGCGTGCTGGCCTCAGCCCGCCAGCGGCCGGCCATGGTCCGCTGGAGATGCGGCGAGCGGCAGGAGGCCTCTTGGGCGAGCTACAAGCAGGACATCCACGACAGTTGTCGAGATACCAGCCGGAGATCTGCATCATCGGCTACGAGACCCACCCACCTCCGTGGAGACCCGCTGGCAGGCATGCCGAGGCCACACACGCGCAGAGGTGTTCGAACAGCTGCAGCTCTCAGAAGGATGGGCTACATCAGCCGACGCGGGCTACAACCGCACCTCAACAACATCATGGCCATCGCTACGACCGCGTTCATGATGGCGTTCAAAACAGGAAGGGACGGGCTGCGTAACAGGCAACCCGAGGACAGCCTTCGCAAGAGGCAGGCAAAGTGCGACAGCGAGTTGCGCAATAGGCAGCCCAAGGAAGACCACCGCCAGTACGACACCAAGTACGCCACCAATGCTGACACCAGGAACGACACGACCGAGCAGACCGAAGGGGTTACTAAGTACGTCGTCGTGGAGGTGCTGGCGCACAGCTGGCCCGCCGCCAAGGACGAGTGCGACGACGGCCGCGCCGTAGACTCCCAGTACGATTGCGGCAGCTGCTTCCATAGCGATCTGTATTCCTACGACCTTCCCGAATACGCCGGCCGTCAAGACGTTGAACACTACGACGGTTCCAGGGCCACCAGACGACCTTCGGGGATCACAAACTGAACTACGAGGGCGTCCTGCTGGGCCACAAGAAGCACCAGAAGAGGTGGCAGGTCCACTCAGTGAGATAAACAGAACAGCCAGCAGAGCTACGAGGGCGACAGGCCGAACTACGAGGACCTCCAGCAGGGCAGCGAGGACCACAGCCTGAGCTACGGGAGACACTGGCAGAGTTTCCCAGGCCACCTGTTGAGCTACCAGAGCTTCCAACAGACCTACGAGGGCCACCTGTTCAACCACGAGGGCCTCCGGCTGAGCCATGAGAGACGTCAGGACGGATACCAGGGCCACCTGCCAAGCAACACGGGCAACCAGCCCAGCTGCGAGGACCACAGGCTGATTTTCGAGGACCACAGCCGGAGCTACGAGGACCACGGCGTGAGCTACCGGAGCCACCTGGCAGAGCGCCCTGAGCCACCAGCTAAGCTACCAGAGCTTCCAAAAGACCTGCGAGGGCCAACAGCTGAACCACGAGGATTACAAGCACAGCTACGAGGGCGACAAGTAAGACTACGAGGACCTCCAGCAGAGCCGCAAGAAACACCAGAAGAGGTGCGAGGGCCACCTGCTGAGCTACACGAGCCACCAGCAGAGCTACCAGGGCAACTCGTTCAACTACCAGGGCCACAGGCTGAACTACGAGGGCCACTACCTGAGCTTCGAGGACCACAGCCTGAGCTACGGGAGCCACTTGCAGGGCAACCCAGGCCACTTGCTAAGTTACCAGAGCTTCCAGCAGACCTACGACGGCCACCAGGGGCCACCAGCTGAATTGCGAGGACCTCCAGCTGAGCCGCGAGAGGCACCAGGATAGGTACCAGGGCCACCAGCTGAGCTACAAGAGCCACCAGCAAAGCTACGTGTGCCACCTGCTGAATTACCAGGACCACAGGCTGAACTACGAGGACCGCCTGCTGAGCTACAAGAGCCACCAGCAGCGCTACAGGGGCAACCGGTTGACAGCTGCGAGGGCTCCGACGACTACCAGCAGGTGCAGGGCCTCAGCCTGGGTTGCGTTGGCAACCAGCTGAGCTACGCAGGCCACCAGCTTGCCCACCTGAGCTGCGAGGGCCACGAGCTGAGCTACGAGGACCACAAGATGAAAGACTAAAGCCTCCCGAAGAGATTCCAGAGCTACAGGCTGAACAGACAGCACCTGGAGCAGAACTTCGAGAAATTCCAGCTCAACTTTGAGGGCCACCCGCGCAGCTACGAGGGCCTCAACCTGAGCTCAGCAGCTTGCAAACAGAACTACGAGAGACCCCTGCTGAAGTACCAGAGCAACGAGACGAACTGAACTTCCAACCAATTGAGCTACAAGCTGCGCTACGAGGGCCCCAAGCAGAGCCACAAGACGAACTCGAAGTCCTACCAGGACCACCTACTGTACTACAAGGCCCAGCAGCAGGGCTCCCAGGGTCACCAGCTGAGCTTCGACCCCCACGCGCTGTGCTACGGGAGCCACCTGCAGGGCTACGGGGACCACCAGCAGAGCTACCAGGGCCTGTCTCTGTTCTACGAGGTCTACGCGACGAGCTCCGAGGGCCATGGCAGACCTTGGACTACCAGAAAGCCGATCGCAATCGGAGACGCAGCACAGGGCAGGCTCCGCAAGACGTGCCACGACTGCGTCGTGGAGAGGCTGGACGAGAAGTCCGCTAAAGCCCGCTGGCTGGATGGCAGTGCGTGCCAGCTCCAGCGCGCGGCACTACGTAGACCGCAATAGTTACGGCGAGGCCGGCCGGCGTGAAGCCGGAGAAGATGACGTCCTACAGCGCTACGGACAAGGGTATACGCGTGCATCGTTGCACACACACACACACAAAGCACGACGTCTGTTTCAGGTGTTCGCTGGGCTGCCACATCACTTGAGCGACCCGGCCGCTCCTCCCCCCCTACCTCCCTCTCTTTTCCTCGTTGGGCCCCAGGTTGGCGGGTGGCATGAGGTGGCCTGCCCCCCCTGCCCCCTCTCAGGAATAGGTTCCCCGGTGGCGTCCGGGGGGCCCCTGTCCAGCGTCGGCCGGGCGCCCGCGCGCGGGGGGCCCGCGCGCGCGGGGGGTGGAGGTGGGGCGCCAGAAGGCGCCGCGGAAGGAAGGAAGGAGGGAGGGAGGAGGAGGAGGAGGCGGAGGAGGATGGAGGAGGAAGAGGAGGGAGGAGGGAGGAGGAAACAGGAGGAGGAGGAGGAGGAAGCAGGAGGAGGAAGAGAAGGAGGAGGACGAGGGGGAGGAGAAAGAGGGAGGAACGACCCACGACGATCAGGACCGCAAAAATTGTTCAGGATCTCGACCACGCGCAAAGGGGGGTGGGGGGAGGTGGGAGGCCTTTCGGAAGCAGGCAGCCACTAAGAAGCCTTCCCCTCTCCCCCTGACCCCTCGCGCGCACCGCCGAGGCAGGACGTGCACGTAGACGAATACGTATTGGTCACGAAAATACGCATGGCGCGAACGTTCGTATGACGAGGCTCGCTTCGCGGAGGTGGGAAGGCCGTGTGCACGTGTGCGGTTGGGAGCGCGCGCGCATTGTTTGTGGGCCCCCTGGATGAAGAGTCGGCCCTAGGACAAGGGTCGGGGCTCCCGTGGACCGCGCAGTGAGGACCTCATCCGCACATCAAGGGGTCCCGGGGGCGGGGGGCGCAAATCGGGCCCGGGATCGGGGCGCACAGCTCCGGGCCGCAAGCCCTCCAAAAACCCCATTCTCGGAACGCTCGGAGTAGGCCGCGGCGCCCGGGACAGCCTCCAGCACCGCCGGATATCAGACGTCCCCCGATCTGCCTCGATCGGATGTTGTCCCGTTCTTGGCGTAGTTTTGAAGGGGGTCGGGGGCCTGGAGGGGGCGGAGGATCGGGCGGTGGGCGGGGGGACATGGGGAGGCAGAAGGGGGGACGTGGACAGGGACGATGGCGACGACGACGACGACGACGACGACGACGACGACGACGACGACGACGACGACGACGACGATGGGGGCAGGCTTCCACCTACCACCACCGCACTGTTGAGCTGCACGGCGCCGCTCGCCAGCTCCAGTTCTCCAGCTACGGGTGCGGCACAGCGTTTCACCGTGCGTCCCGTGCCGCTTTCGTCTTCACCACATGTTCGGTTCCTGCAATGCGCTTCGGATGGGCATGGCGTAATTTCTAGGTCGGGGAGGCCAGGGGATCGTTGCATCGTGGCCCACCACACATTTACACTGGTGAACAGCCGCGTACTACGTCTATTTAGCACACGGCGACATAGATGTGTGTAAGTATACACCTATGGTGTATGCTATGTGTACATGGCGCAAGCTTTGCGGTGCGATATCTGTGGTGCAAATTTTGTGGCGTACATCAACTACGTGGTGTAAACTATGCGGTGCAACATATATGGTGCAAGTTATGCGGTGCAATTCACCGATGTTCGGTATGAATTGTCTACTCGACTGCTCGCGCAATCATCCCGCTCACCCACCTGCAGCTTGGTTTGCACAACCCATGCGATGGCTATTGCGATAAGTGTTTGGCGTTGGCTGGTGCGTCTCCGCGGCCGCGTTAGCTCGCGCATGATCGCGCGCGCAGCGGCCAGCCGGTGCGGCGCGACCGACGCGGCCGCGGTGGCGCGGACCGCTGGGCACTCCCCAGCGGGCACGTCAATGCGAGTCGGTGACCTGGGCGGGCGCGGCATCATGGCAACGCCGACAACGGTAGGCACGATGATGAGAGTAGCGATGATGGTGACGATGGCGGCGATGACGGCAATGCCAATGACGGCGCCGATGTTGATCACGCCCGGCGGTCACGATGGTGATGTCTTCGCGTCGGCGATGAAGGTTCCGGAAGGAGTTCGGCATGCGCGCGCGGCCGATGCGCAAGAACGGCCCGCATGGTTTATTTGACACGGATCCTGTCCCCCCACAGCGCGCGCAGAGGCGTCCGGATGGGTTCGACATGCGGCGCGAAAGGATCGTTTGGCAGAATTTGATGACAGTGTTGGCAAACCAGTGGTTCTTTCAAGAATTCGCAAGGGCGCACACGCAAGCTCTGTTGAAAACCGACGTTGCGAAGCCATGTGTTTTTTATGTCTTCGAGACACTCATCTTTGGAGTTCTTACGAAACCTGAAGTTCTTGCATGATTCCGGCATGCGCGCGCGACGACGCGCGTGTGTGCATTTCGCCCCCTTCTGTTGCCAAGGATTCTTGCGACAGCATGCGCGCAAGGGCGTCCGGACGATTCCGACATGCGCGCGAGAGGCCTTTTTGGTAGCACCTTATGACAAACATTAACCGCCCATGCTCTTTTTTTCAGACTACGCAAAAGTGCGAGCGCACACTGTGATATAAAACCCTCGGTGCGAGGCCACGTGTGTCTTATATGTTTTCGTGGCACTCGGTTTTAAGACATCTTTGCGATGCCTCCTGGGTTGCAATGGAATTCAGCATGCGCGCGCGCGACGACGCGCCCGTGTGCACTTCACCCCATCTGGTGCAAGGGGTTCTCGGGCCGGACGAAAGGGGGGGATTGGGAAAGGGGGGGGTACGAAATCTACTGCATGCAGCTGGTTTCGGCCCCGCCGCCGGGCCCAGTCCTCGATACATGGCCGCCTCCCGGCGCCGGGAAAATCAGCTACGTGAGCCGATTCTGAACCCCCCCCTTGGCCATCCCCCTCTTTCGCCTGGTCCGATAGATGGGGTCGGAGTACACCTTGTTCATTTCTATGTATTCGGAGGTTCTTTGATTTTTAGGGGGGCCAAGATCCTTTCATTCTAATTGTTCTATCCTTGGCGGGCCTAGGTTCTGAGAACATTAGAACATATCTGGGTTCTGGGAACCCTTCGTCGTAGGCTTATAGGAATGCCGGGGCGGTCTGTCCCTCTTCAACAAGGCGCCCCCAGGATTTCCACGAAAGGCCACCACCCACCGAGCCACCCCAGCCCAACCCGAAGGCCCCGAGTTGCCCTCCGCTCCCAGTAAGGGGGGACGTCGGGGAACACCGAGGACAAAACACATGCGGGACCCCGTACCCCCCCCCCCGAAATTCGTGCCTTCGGGCTGGGTTGGGGGGTGCTGCTGCGCGGCTGCGCGCCCGGCGCACCCCCTTTTTTGCTATCCCCCCTCGATCGCCCAGCCCGAAAGGGGTTCTCGACAGTGGATGCCGTTTGCTGCGCGGCGGCGCGCAAGCGACGCCTCGGCACGCCCGCGGCGGCGCACCGCGGCGGCGCACCCGGCCGGCCACGGGCCCGCACCCGCGGGCGGCACTGCGGCGCGCCCGCCCGGCGCACGAGGCGCCCGCCCACGGGCGGGCACCGGGCGAGGCCCCCCCTGGCATCGCTCGGACGCGTGTGTGTGTGTTTTTTCTCGGCGGGTTCAAGAAGGCGCTCCTTTGCAAGTTCGTCTACTTCGACACCGCCTGATTCCGAGGCTTTGCCTCCTCCCGGCCTCGTTCTGAGGCTGCGCCCTGCCCCTTTCCTCCCTCCTCTTCTCTGCCTAATTCAAGCTTCGCGCGGCCCGCTTAGCTTCGACCGGAAGAGGTGCGCTCTCGACCCACGGATCAAAAAGTGTTTGCTCTCGGCGGAGACCCTCGAGGACCATCCATGGACCATCGAGCAAAAAAAGACACGCACGGAGACCAAAGCATGCGCGGGAGAGGGACGTCCGAGCGACGGCGAGAGCCCCGCACACCCCTCCGATTCCTGGGCAGGCCCACGCAAGAACCTGCGGTCCAAATCTAGGGCCGGTGCCACCGCACAGTGTGCCCCTGCGGCCCCATGCGGTACCCGCCAGGCTGGGGGCTGAAGGCACCACGGGATCTGAATGTTTGTTTCCGAGGCGGCTGGCAGGTTGAGCCTTCCTGCGCAGTTGCATGTCTGCCCCGCTGGTCTGACGTCACGACTTGTTTTTCCACCCGCTCGTTCAGCGCTGCTGCCCCTCATTTCCTGCTCTGGCCGCGGCGCCGCCTTCAAACACGGGCTCAGAATTCATCGGAGATGTAGTGCTTGCACTTGGCGGGATGCCATCCTTGTCGGCACAGAGGCGGAGGAGAAAGGAGGGAGGAGGGATCGGGCAGGAGAGAGGTCAGGCAGCGAGAGGAGAGAGAGAGAGAGAGAGCGAGACGAGGCTCTCTTCGCCGTGGCCACGCTGGCCGGGGCCACGGGCATCGGCGGCGGGGGGGTCAACGTGCCCTTGTTGATGATGTTGAGCGGCTTCGACATCAAAGAGCTTCATCCTCCTCGTCCCGTTCCTCGCCCTCGCCCTCCTCGCCCTCGTCGTCGTCGTCGGCGTCGTCGTCCTCCCCCTCATCCTCAAGGAGGCAGTGCCCATCTCCCATGTCGCGGTCTTCGGCAACGCGCTGGTCCAGCTGTTCGTTAACGCTCCCCAGCGGCATCCAGAGATGCCCCAGAGGCCGCTCATTCACCACGAGGCCTCCTCCGCCTCGTCGTCCGCATCCTCCGCCTCCTCCTCCTCCTCCTCCTCCTCCTCCTCCTCCTCCTCCTTCTCCCGCACCTCTCTCGAGATGGCGTGGCTGATGATGCCCACCATGCTCGGGGGCAACTCGCTCGGCATCGTCGTCGGGAAGATGCTCCCCCCCACCCTGCTCGTGGTCCCTCGAGCACTGGCGAAGCTCCCTGGCTCGCTTATAGGCCCACCAAAGAACGTTCTAAGAACCCCTTTTGGTCTGCACGACATTTTTTCAGAACACGTCCGGCCGAGACTGTCTTGCTCCAACACCTCCGTCCTGTGTCCTGAGCTCTGTCCACGCTCTTGGCACATGTCCTCTGGGTTCTAGGAACATGTCCTGGTGGGCCTGCAGGAAGGCCGGGACGGCTGGTCCCCGCCCAGGTCCTCGCCCTCGTGCTCCTCGCGCTCACCTCCGCGAAGACCTTCGCGAAGGGCAGGGCCGCCCTGCGCAAGCGCGGCCCCGCCGCTCGCGGCGAGCCCTCCAGCGGCGCGGGCGGCGGCTGGCCCGGCGCAGCCGCCGCCGGCGCACTGGTCGAGGGAGGCCGCGGCCCGGAGGGCGACTGGAGCTCGAGGCCTCCCAAATGCAGAGGCCTCCCAAGTTCAGGGGCTCGAGGGCGACTGGGGCTCGAGGCCTCCCAAGTCCCAAGTTTAGGGGAGGACGAGGTGCCCACACGGCCGCACTGCCCTCGTTCTCCTCTCTCTCTCTCTCTGGGCCTCCCGGGGAGGCCCTATAGTCGCCGCCACCGCTGGATTCGCCTCGGAGTTCTGGTCAGAACGCACCCCGAGAGAGGTCCAGGGAGTAGCGGTATCGGTACGTTTTGGTTTTCCCAGAGGCCTCCCAAATGGGGTCCGAGTACATCTAGGCTTCCCAGATGGGGTCGGAGTAGATGGGGTCGGAGGATCGCTCCGCATCGCCGATGCATCGGCGATGCGGCTCAATGTGGAGCCCGATGTTCTTCACGCCGACGTCGCCGACGCATCGCTGACGTCGCGCATACACCGTCGATGTATCGGTGATGCATTGGCGATGCTGCGCGATACTCCGACCCCGTCTATTTGGACCCCATCTACGAGGCCTCTAGTACAGTGAAAACCGATGGTAAGGATCGGTAACCTTCCCAAGGGTGGCCTTGCCTCCTTGCCTCCTCGGTCCGCCCTAAACTCCTTTCGACGGCCAGCCCCTCTCGAAGAGCTTCGGCATGCGCGTCCAAGGGGCTTGCATCCCTACCGCGCATCCTTACTATCAGTTCTGACCGTAGATGGGCGCGCCGACATCGCCAATTGATCGCCGATGCGGCTCGATGCGAAGCCCGATTTTCTCAGCACTGGCGTCACCGACACACCGCCGACGTCGCCGATGCATCGCCGTCCTCCGACCCCATCTACTCGCACCCCAAATTTCGGAAGCCTCGAGGAACGGGCACGGGAGTGCGGCCGGCGTGGTGACGGTCCGAACCCCGTGGAGGGTCATCGTCGCGATGCTCGCCTTCAACATCCTCTTCTGCCTCGACTACCTCGTGCTGTCGAAGGACGTGTCCGGAGTCACGGCGTGCTCTGCCGTGTACTGGGCCGCGCTGCTGGCCATCTACCCGGCCGTCCTGGTGGCAGTCTGGGTCGCCGTGCGCATGCTCAAGGATCAGGAGGGAAAAAACACAAAGACACAATCAATCGTCGATTCCCCCGAAAATATTGGAAAGTATGGGAAGTGGGGGGGAAGACAGAAACCCAGAAAATATTGAAAAATATGGGGATTTGTTCTATTTGTGTGTGTTCATTTGTGTGTCCCAGGGCCCCTTCAGAGGAGCTTCGCCGCTGGCACGATCAGAGAGGCGACGGCCCACTCCCTGGCGATCCCGAGCTCGGCGGTGCCAGCGTGGTGCTGTTCGCGACGGCCTCCACAGTGATCGGGCTCGTCGCGGGGCTGCTCGGGCTCGGAGGCGGCGAGTTCATGGTGCCCTTGCTGCTGGGGTTCGGTGTGTCCCCTCGGGTAGCCGCGGCGACCTCTGGCTTCGTCATGGTCTTCACGACGTCTTCGAACCTCGTGCACTACCTGGCGGCGGGAACTATGGAGCCCTTCCTGGACTACGCCACGTCCTGCTTTCTGATCGCTGGCGCGGGTGCCGCGGTGGGCTTGCTCAGCAGGGACAGGTGCGTGCGACAACGCAGCCATTTGCTTGTGTTCCTGGTGGCCTTCATTCTGGCCTTCTCCGGGGTCCTGCTGGCGCTCAGGGCATTCGTCCTCGACAGTGGCCTGGACTGGAGCTTCGGCAGCTTCTGTCACTGAGCGGGGAAGACGTCTCGAAGAAGAGCAAACGCTATGAGCATAAACTGTTGGCGCTCCGCGCGGATTTCTTGGAGCTGCGCTGGACCCCCCTTCCTGGCGCGCTCCGCGCGTCAGGGGCGGCGCCAGACGCGCCGCCGTGGGGGGCCTAGCGCGAATCCAAGAAATCCGCACGGAGCGCCAAAAGTTTATGTTTATGGCGTTGTTTCTTCTTCGAGACTTCGGCAGGGAAACCGTGATACCGAGTCAGTGCACCCATACGTGATCCATTCCCCCCTCGTCCCCCGACCCCGACCCCCTCGGAGGAAGAAGTTGGGAGGTGGGGGAGGCGACTCCAGGGATCGAAGAGGGGATGCGGAGGGGGAGGTGGAGGGAGAGAGTTGAGGAGGAGGCACCAGTAGAAGCCCAAGACGCATAAAAGATGCTGCAATGCATCCTCCCGACCCAAAGGCCTCTCCTCACTAATCCTTGCAGGCGTTCTGTCTCACTGCGCGAAGCGCTCCCTTTTGAAAATCGAGCGCCCCGTTGGTCCACAGCTCAAGCGGGATAATTATCTGTTTGAAGCAAACCGCCCTCCATGCTTCGAGCCGTGAGGAAAGCGACAAGGGCGGGGTTTAAAGCACAAAGAAGTGGAAGGCGACAACATCACTCTGAAAGGAAGTCCTGCATCCGTGCAGCTGGTGCAAAATTCCGATGCGTGGCAACAAAACCAAACGAAGTCTCATTCGAGAGTCCACATGGAAGCGAGCCGCCCTCCATCGGTGTAGCTATTGTACAATATTACAAGTGTGGTCATGTGTTTGAGGGGTCTCAGGCGAGAGCCGCAATTTGAAAACGAACGGACCTCCAGCCGAGTACCTTGTGGACGATTTCGATACGAATGCACGTTGCGTTCAGGCGAAAGCCACACGTTTAAAACAACCGGCCTTCCAGCTGCATAATTGTTGGGAGCGCTGAAGACGGATACGCGTTGCGCTAAGGCGAGGGCCACATTTTGAAAACGGTCGGCCCCCCCATCCGTGAAGCTGTCAGACAGATTCAAGACGAACGCGCGCGGCGCGAAGGCGGCAACCGGATTTTGAAAACGACTGGCACTCCATTCGCGTAGTTGCTGAAACATGGTAAGACGACTTCGTGCAGCGCTAAAGCGAGAACCCCATTTGCAAGCCACACCTCTCAAATCTCGCAGTTGTTGAAACTTCTAAGACGAATTTGCGCGGCCACAAGGAAGTCCCAGACGAAGCGCCCAGCCCGCCCTACCGACACGCCTGGGGGTGCGGCGTGGAGGAACCATATATAAAGAAAAGGGATGTGATGCTAAGGTTGGCGGAGCAGGAGGAAGAGGAGGAGGAGGAGGTCCGTACCCAACCGTTTTGGCTCACGTTAAAACGCTTTGCCTTGGCGTTTGCTACCTGTTCGCAGGCGAGGGTCGGGTCCGAGCCCCTACACCCTAGCGACATTCCGGTCACAGGAGCCGCGTGGCACTGGGATCCGATTTCGGCCACTCCCAGACTGCCATGCCCCAGGATGCTACCGCCTGGGCGCTCGCAGCCGAAATCGAGGCCGCGCCGACTTTCCTATTCCAGGAGACGCGGGGAACTACAGGCGGGAGGGCAGTCCCGACAAGAGAGAGCGAGAGGCCGAGGACCCAGTCGAGGCTATTGCTTCTTTTCGGTTTTTAATTGGCAACGCTTGTGATGAGATGCCCAATGCCGCCGCCAAGCTGCAGGCTAGCGTCGCTGACCTCAGTTCCGCGATTGGCGCCAACTGCGACAAGATCAGCAAGAGGGTGCAGGCTAGATCCGTAGAGTTGCAAGCAGACCAGCAGGGCGCCAACACGCGAGTCACCATTTTGTAACGCTTGGCCGCCGAACTTTAGGAGTTCATGTACTGCATCAAGAATGGGGATCCGCATACGGTGGAATTGGACTCGTCGTTCAACCAAATGGCCAGCCCGTGCATCATTGTCGCCCTCGCCAAGATGGTCTGCCAACGGGAAGTCATGCCGTTGCCCAGGCTGGCCCCGCAGGGAAGCTATTGGTTTTCCGCGCCAAGGGGGACGCCACCTACGCCCAGAGGAAGGTGGCCCTGGCGATGGGAGCTTTACGTCTCGCCAGGAAGCCATGGGAACGGCATTCCACCGTCGACGCGCTCGGGCAGCGCACCGACCATTTAGTGAGCACGGACAAGAGCCCAGCCACTATCAAGAGGGAACTCGGTCTCAAGCAGCTTCGCTGCGCGTCGAGACCACGACCCCGAAGGTTAGGTACCTCAGTGGCCAGCAGAGGGCAGAGCTTTCAGCCAATTGGAAGCCGCTCGCCAGCACCATTCCCACGCCAGGGGGCGACGAACCCGCGTTGGAGCAGTGGTTGCCCAACCTGGCCTGGCCGAGGTCGGCATCGACAAGATTCGCCTCTTGCGTTATTGTCAGAGCGGGGGGCAATGCCTCAAGCCCGTTATAGCGGTCTCTTTGAAGTCACCCAGCGCCGCTGGCGCGGAGAGCGAGGCACCCCTTGGCCTTCGACACTGTCTTCGTGGAGCGCTCGTGCTCTCTTTCGCCGCAATCGACCTTCTCCAAGAAAGTTACGTTCGGCTTGTTCGTCGCATGTCCTTCCCTGGCAGCAGCATTGGCACCCGTGAACGCCATGCCGGCGACCTTGCAGTCCGAGATCTGCTCTACCAGCACAATCTGAACTATGCGCACAAGTATGCTAGCTCATGATGTCCAAGTTCTCAGGCGGGGCGCGAGCGCACCTGCGCGCCGCAATTTTATCATCTGGGCGGGGGCGGCCCTCGTATCCAGAAACAGGTTCACGTTCCTGGTCGCGTTCTTGAAGTTCCCCCGCATCTCGGGGGCTTCATTTTCACCCACTCCAATGTCCAAAACTCCCAGCTCGGAGCCGTGGCCAAGCGTGAATTTTCCCCGCGAATCCTGCGCGACCTCGCGACGGCAGAGGAGGGCCCTTCCGAACAGCTCGCGGCGGTCTTTTGAAAGTTTAACTTCGCGCGCGCGCCGCCATCCAAGGAGGCCGATGCCGAGGGCGACGAGCAGGCGCGCGGGCATCTTCAGGAGTGGAAGGCTAATCAGGATGGGGCATGGATGGAGGCCCCCAGAAGGGAGGTGCCGGAGCCCACGCGTCATTACCAGCCTAGGCGCACGCTCAGCTTTATCAACCGGCAGTTTGTCTTTAGTCCTGCGCGGATGCACCCTCAGCTGTCCTGTGAAGGAACAGTGGTGGAATATCTCGACGTCCTGTGCAAGAAAAGGATATCCGACCGTGCCCTGGTCCAGGCCGCATTTGCGCCCGTTGGCCCGATTCCTACTTCCGAGAGGCCTGGCCCCGCTGAAGTCTGTGAGCACCCTCATCACATTCGACTCCTGGATGCTATCGAGGCTGAATGCGACTGGAGCAGGCTGACCCTCACACATGGGTGGCGCTTCAAGCCGAGGTGACGCGCGAGGCCGCCAAGATCGCTAGAGACTATTTGATTCGAGAACCACAAGCGTCATGTTTTCTCGGCATTTAGCAATCTGGAGCATCGGAAAATGCCCCCCGAGGCCGGGCGCCCGACTTGCTCGGCACATCTGCCGGCTGCGCGAATTAAGCGCAGATGGTCGACCCGCTGGCGGGGGCAGCGGGGCCCATCGACCAGCCTGGTTTCCAGCGGCGCGCCAACGAAATCCACGGCGCCACAGCCTAGCAAAGCAAAGATAAGCTAGGCAGCGACAGGAGATTTCGAGCCCCGGAGATGAGCATAGCAGATTCAGAGCACGTCGTCTTCTGACAGGCGCAGCGCGCATGAGCCGCATCTGGGCCCCCTGTGACCGTGGGAAGGCCCGCAGAGGATTCGCCCGACCGACCGGGGCTGGGCGGCCACGGCGCTTGCTGACGCACTGCGACTGCCGGGGGATCAGTGGAGCCCTGGTTTTGTTTGTAGACATGATATGCCGCGCTGCTGCCCGAGAATACCCCCGACGGCATTGCGATGGCGTGGATCTCTCTGGCCGTCATCCCCCCACTCATCTATCCCATCATCGATGCACCGATCGCGCTGAACATCGCGCCCCCGGGCCGGATGGACCCCCTCATCGGGCTTGGAGACGTCGCCCAGGCGCCCCCGGCGCCCCCGAGGCGGCTCTCTAGCGGCTCGTCAGCGGCAAAGCTACGTCGCCTACCTTGAGCGACGTTCGGGGGGCCCTCGCCGCGAGAGGGCACGGGGCCCAGGCGGGCGGCCCCCGGACTTCCGGGACAAACCAGACCCCGAGCAATATTTCACCAACCTCGTTATTGGGGTTGTCTTTGAGGTCTCGCTCGTCGGCTCGGAGATAAAAGCGCGCGCCCCGCAGCGGGGTTTCGCTGGCGGGGCAGTTTCGGGCTCGACATCCTCGAGCTCGAAGTCGCGTCTCGGATGGCCTCGACGCTTCCCGTTGCAGCCCATCGGATTCCAGCCGCGATTTCTGGCGACCGCGGCCAGACCCCCCGCGAGTGGCCCACCCATGGGTCGCGAGGTCCCCCGCGGCCTCTGGCGCCCCCCTTCCGATTTGGTATTTCTGGTCGACTGCGCGGTGATTTGTCTGACATCGTGTCTGGCGTCATCCAGGGCTGCCCTGGCTCCGGCGCGCCCCCCCCCCACACCGCCACCACCACTGGCAGCCGCCCTTTTCTCGAGCGATCTACGGCCGAGGCCAGAGGCGCGGAATGGCCCCATTCTCGGAGGGCTGCGGGGAGACAAGACCGACAACTCAGTCTCTCGCGGGCATGCGCCGTCGATAAGACGGACAACTCAGCATCGGTCCTTCTTGAATTACATCATCCGAAGGCGGTGTCTGAAACTAGCGAGACCCTCGCGCGCCCCATCTCTACGCGAGCCAGGCGCGCCCTGGCCCCCCTGGCCAGGCCTTTCCCCTCCCCCGCCCCCCTCGCTGCCAAGCGCAAGTTCTGGCTTCGGAACGACGCCCCCGACCAGGGATCCTCTCGGGCGGTCGATTCCCCGACACATCT